TAACCAATACAACTTGACTGAACCTTAGGGAGATGATAGTCTTCACACTGAATACCAAAAATTGCTGTAAGAGGATTTGGATCAATTGTTCTTCCAAGCATTTTGGAAAGGGCTTCAAAAATGGAGAACCGCTAAACTGAGAGACCCGGGCAAGACCAGAATGTATGAGCATGTGCTGCAGGTGAGGGGTACATCTTTAAGGGTACTTTGAGTATATTCTGATGCTACTGCTCATGTTCTTTTCCTTAAATCACATTTTTAATGCAGGATTTTTATTTGTGTGAGAGAATTTCTACACTGTGGTGTTGCTTCTTTTGCTTAAGTAAAGATCTGTGTGCTTCCTCCACCGCTGCATAACTTATCCAGGTCCTTCATCCATACTCAAGGTATCAAATATTTCTACTTAATGCCACTTTTTTATGCCACTACACTTGAGAACAAAAAGCACTGTACTTTTTACTCCTCTTATCTGACAGCTTTACAGCAATCACTGGTTACTTTGCAAGACATACTTTATGCACAAAAAAGATGAGCAACATTTTATATCATGTAATGCATTGTTATGGATGTAATTACATAAAATAAAGCTCAAATTAGCAACACCTTGGAACGCCCAGTAACTCAGTAGGTAGGACCTTCGCCATGCACAAAGGCAGCGTCCTCGCTACAGCAGCCATGGGTTCGATTCTAGCCCAAGGCCCTTTGCTGCATGTCGTCCCACCTCTCTCTCCCCCTTTCACACTTCAAAAACTGTCCTGTCATTGAAGGCAAAAAAGCCCTAAAAATAATCTTTAAAAAACTGCTCCATCTTGACCAACTACAACAGTACATGTTGCTTTAACAGTAAATGCACCAGTAATAAATAGTATAAAATACCCGTTATTTATAATACACTCACATACATTTTTTGTGCATAACGAGTACTTTTACATACTTGCAAGTGAAATTTTGCATGCAGCATTTTACTCGTAATAGAGTATTGTCACACTGTGGCACTGGGACTTTTGCTGAAGTAAATAATTTGAATATTTATCCACCCCTCATGTTGTGAATGTTGTAAAACTGTCACCACTCTGTGGCTGTTAGTGCCAAATGCTTTACAACAATGTCAAAACAAAGTGCAGCACCACATAGAGACATTTCTGAATGTCTGAGGCAAGATGCAGGACGAAATGTCCATACATGTTCACACTATTAGTACACTCTGAATTAGGCTATGGCCATTACAGTCACAGCACAAAAGGAGGGAATGAGAGTGCTGTTAATCTCTTCAGGGAAGCTCCAGAGACTTGGACAATCTATAACCTGAGACAGTGGTTCCCAACTGGTCCAGCCATGAGGTCCAGATTTCTCCTTGGTCATTAGTTCGTGGTCGCACAGTGGGATATATTCAGTGTCATTCTTGTGTTTGGCCATGCCATTGAGCTAGTTTCTCTGTCAAGTAGCTGTTGGTTAGTCACTCATGCTACAGCAGAACACCGCAGGTCTGTTCAGAATTAGTCTGTGACCAACTTCTGGACTGCGACCCACCATTTAGTATATATGGTGTGGTTATAATATAATGTCTGATCTTTGACTTGCTAAAGTGATGTGAAAAGTTTAAGCAACTGGTTTGTATCTGCACGCAAACACACATTTGTCTCCTTTTAGACAGCTTACTGACAGCAACTGTGTGTGTGTGTGTGTGTGTGTCCGAGTCCCATGACATCTCATGACACTGATCCAAACAGTATCATGCTTACCTCTCCTAACCATATCTGATTAATTAGCTGATGTTCTTATCAGTGAGGGGCTGACTGACATTAGACATGTCTCTGTTGTTGCCTACCTCCACTGTTGAAGGACGAACAGAGCCGTCTGCAACCATTAAGTCATCCTGACACACTGATTACCACAGCCATCATGTGACGGTGATGACCAAGTGCATTATGGACAGGAAGCTGAAATGTGATAAGAGCTTTTGACAGCACACTCACTGTGTGTGTGTCACTGACACAATGTCCTGAAGAGGTACAACTCTCCAGTATTTCAAGACCAGTGGTGGAAAAGGTACAAGGATCCTACACTTAAAGGGACAGTTCATCCCAAATCAAAAATACATGTTCTTCCTCGTACTTGTGCTACTCATCAGGCTTGATTGTCTGGAGTAGAGGCCAGGTGTAAACATTAATGGCGACCTCTACAACTGAGCTGTAACATTAGCTCAGGTGAGCCAGCAGCTCCTCTCATCTATGAGTAGATGCATGCTTAATTCTGCACAGTGACACTGTTGGCAGCAGTTTGGCTGAAAGAAAATATTTCTGTGGTCTGTGGATTATCTCGAGTAACTGGGTCATGATTTCTGGAAAGGACATTGATGTTTAGTTCTTCAGATGCACTTTTTTGGCTATTGGAGGGAGAGATAGAAAGGCCTTTAATGTCATTGCACAAGTACGAAATTGGGTGGCTATCCTTGCTGGTGCCAAAGAAAAAAAAGAACACCATGAAGGCAGACATCTACGGCTGATATCCCCAACACTTTTTGGGGATTTTGGGGTGAACTATCCCTTTAAGACAAGGCAAGTTGTTCACCAACAAGTGAATTTAAACTGCTCTACACAAAACATCAAGACAAAGTACAAAAAAAACCACCATAAAAGGACATTTAAACACAATTAAAACAGTAATTAAAAAGCAAGAGAACAGAAAATATAAGCAAACTAAAATAGAAGAGCACAGGTAGAAAAATGCAAGAACAAAAGTCACAGTGCAGTGTTAAAAAATGAATAAATTGAGGACAAAATAAGGAGTGCTGCACTGGGTCAAGGCTCTGTGTAGTTAGTTGTAAAAAAAAAAAAAAACAGGTGCTCTTCAAGGATGGAGCAAAGAGTCGCTTAGAGATAATTATATTTATTTGCCATTGTACCTATTGTCTTGTCATTAAATATGTTAATATTTATAGAATACATTTATGTCATTTTCATTTGCAATTTCTGTCAATGTGTTGTTTGTTTGGTCTAGTAGGGTTTATACCAATATATCATATGACCTGTGTCACGTGACCCTCACATGGGCTCTTCAATTTCACACCTGTTTCCAACGCATTTTACACCCTGATGAAGACTTGGATGCATTTCCGGACTGCCTGCCTGTACTATGGACTTTTACACTAGGTGAGCTGTCCAGTCGTTTTTTATCTTGAAATGAATAAGTTGATTTTATAAAAGGCAGCGGCAACAAGAAAGTTCTGAAGGCCTCATCAGTAAAAGTAACAATAGGCTACCACAGTGTAAAAAACTCTTAAATTTAAGTCCCACTTTCAAAATGGTACTGAAGTTAAAGCACAAAAGTGCCATTAAAATATACTTAAAGCATCAAAAGTAAAAGAAGTCATTATTAGTGATTTTTATTAGTGATGCATTCATGTGTAAGCATCACTAATGCTGCATTTGGTAAAAGTGGAGCTACTTTAATTACTTCACATACTGCTCTGTAGTTTAATATATATTATTAAATCATAATTTATGAGTTGATTAATACTCTGCATTAATAATCAGAATTTGCAAAGTAGGTCTAACTACTAACTAAAGTTGTCAGATAAATGTTAAAAGTACCATATTGGCTCCTAAAATGTGGAGTATTATAGAATGAAAATACTCAAGTAAAGTAGAAATAATAATAATAATGCATTTTATTTATTGGTGCCTTTCAGAACACTCAAGGACATCTTACAACACAGTAAAAAAAGCAATGACAAACAATTCAGTAATATACAGTATGCTAAAAGATAATAAAATGACCAGACGAAATCATAATTACAAATATTAGGTATAAAGTCATCATCATCAATATACAATATACTTCACAATTGTACCAACAGTCATCATATCATATCATATCCCATCATATCATCTTAAACTTCACACTGAAGTTACTGACCCTGAACGCCCCTCAGACAGACCGACTGATCGCAGTGCAGCTGTTGTCCTTGTATTTGCGCGCCACCCAGTGGCGACAGCCGGAAATTGGCACTTCACCACTTGTTAATCTGCCAGGGGCCATTTTGAACCGCACGGCGGTGTTACCACACGCTTGACTGGTGTGAGTAATGTGTAAGACATCAATAAACAAGAAAAGACACAAAAACAAACAAACAAAACCTTGGCATGGAGACATGTGCCTGTAGCCAAGACGCGCTACTCCTCCAAAGCAACTTAACTGTGAGTATGATCTACTGTCGATGACGCGTAATTAAGCCTTGTTATAATCTAATAATGCGGCTGAGACTCTCTGAGGGCAGTTTTGGCTTCATGTTTGTTTTAAAGCAGTAAATAGACTTTATATTATTTATTATGCATGTTTAGTTTATGAGTGGATCTCAATTTGTTATGGCTAGACGTCTATATTGTTTGTGGCAAGTATCTTAAATTGCATGGCCTGAGTTGGTGTAACCTGAGCCATACTTTGTTTTGTGTGAATAATATTTTCCATAACACGTTAAATTACATGCCGGATGTCTTGTGTGTGTGAGAGAGGATGACCCTCTGGATGTCACATCTGTCCTGCAGATGTGGAATTTGTCCAGTTTGGAGTTGGCTTGCAGGCTTTTTGCAAAAAGGACTGGACAGGTTATTCGAAATTAAAAAATGTGTAATTGTTTTAAAGAAAAATGATGAATCTCTTTTTAAGATTTGATGTGGTGCACATTAATAAGCACATTATGCCTGGGAGTGATATAAAGAAGAGCCATGTCCAGTCATGTTCCCGTCATGCAAACACTCCATCTAAATTCCTTTAAGTTTGTTAAGACGGAAACCAATAATCAATATTGATGAGTCAAAGTGTTTGGCTCTGCTTGCTCGGGCATCGGAAACTTTTCTCCACGGGTTTCCTAAACTTGGCCGGTCCCTCTTGTTTGAGTCCAATTAATGAGGCGGCTAAACTCATTAATTGGCCACTTAATTGGCCCCTGTCGCTGCGCGCGCTGCTTCCGCTGGCTTTTAGCGCACCGCCATCCCTCCCTCCCGCCGCCAGACATCACAATCCCACCTTGTCACAACGATTTAGGGTCAGTCTCCCAGACGGGAAGGTGCTCTCGCCGTGGACCCCCCCTCCACCTCTGGATCCCCCTCTATCTGTATCTCCCTCCCGCTCTATCTCGGTGTTTTATGTCTGCGTCACAACAAGTCTGTCGAGAGCGAGAGGCAGGGATGATGGCGTCTCTGGCGGCTTGATTCCGGTGCTGCTCTGACAAACCCGCCTTAATAGCATCAATAGGTGGTGGCAGAGAGGAGGGGGGTAAGGGGAGCAAAGGCGACGGGAACATGACGAAACGGCATCGTGGAGGACGGACAAACTAGGGCTGAGAGACGGACGGACAGTCAGTCGCCTTTCCCCCCTCCTCCTCCTCCTCCTCCTCCTCCTCGCTGACGGCTTGACTGACACACACAGGCGCTTGGCACAGACAGGGACATACATGCACATCATCCACTTTTTGCAAACACGCAGGCTGCGCATCCGAGCGGGCAGTAATTGGGCAGCGGAGATCCACAGCAGATGAGGGCATTTCATGTCCAGCCTGCCCAGGAATCACTGTGACCCCGACGGAAAGGAGTTCGACTTGACAGGTACCCTCCACCGGCACAGCTTACTGTACAATTTGCCTGATTTCCCTTTGATTCACAAAAGGCTCCATGCACTGTTATGTATCCTGCGTCTGTCTTGACTTGAGTGCATGCACTGGAACAAATGCTTAACGTGCAGAGATAATGCCTGCACAGTCATTTCATGCATCTATTCAAGTTTTTAAAGATGTTGGGGGAGAGAAGAAGAAAACAGCAAAGTGCCTGGCAGATGCTTCAAGTAGCTGCACAGTGATCTTTGCTCATTCAATCAAACTGTATTGCAGCAGTCATCATGCAGTGTTTTTTCTGTGTGTGTGTGTGCGTTTCATGTGTGCAGTAATCATTTGTCTTGCTCTCTGGTTGTGTACTCACTCTCATCTTTCACTGTGGTGGATACAGACTGTCGCTATGCTCTGATCTAAAAAGGAGGAGGAGGAGGAGGAGGAGGGATTTTAACCCCTTTGCACCGAAGCCCGTCTGTCTGAGATCCAGCCGAAAAACGCCGGGGCCATAAACCCCTCTGTCAGCAATGGCAGCAAAGTATTCAGCGAATAAATCGGATTTCCATTTCACATGAGCCCTGCTCTCTCTCCCCTCTCTGTCTCTCTCCTCAGGATGGGGGGAGTAAGTGAAGGAGATGATGTGTTGGCTCGATGGAGTGATGGACTACTGTACCTCGGCAATGTGAAAAGAGTAAGTGCATGTGGGAGTGTGTGTATGTGTGTGTGTGGCAGGAAGACTTTGGAGTGTGTGTGCGTGCAGTGCGTGTCAGCGAGTGCGCTCACCTGGATTTTGAAAAGACTTCCATTTAGTTTTGTCAATCATTGCCGCTCACCTGCTATCTCCCTCTCAGGTAGATGGAGTCAAGCAATGTTGTCTGGTGAGATTTGAGGACAACTCCGAGTTCTGGGTTCTGAAAAAGGACATTCACTCATGTAAGAAGGACTCCTTTTTTCCTCTCCCCCGTCTCCCCTCAGCTAGAAGAGTTAAATAGCTTCCTGTTGGGAGCACTTTGTGTTTCTCAGGTTCAAAAAATATGCTCCTAGATTGGGTTTTTGAATGCACAGACGCTCAGCAGAACTCAAACTAAACCTGTTTGTTTGCACTCTGAAACTTTGCCTGAGGAGTTGAATATAATAAAGTTGAATACTTCACTAATTCGTTCCCCTTGTGAGCTTAAAACTTTTCATTTTTTTCCACCCTTTGTCTCGGGATATCTGAATTGTCGCTCCAAGAAAAATGCCAAAAAGAAATTGCAGTCACGTTCAAGGTTATGATGCTGAGCGCTCTGAGTATTCTGATCGGGGCACGTTGAGTTGTAATTGCTATATTAGAGTCTATTTATGAATTTATTAGACTAATGACTCTTGAGGGAAATGGCGCCCCCACTCCACCTAACATCAAGCAAAAGGGGAAGTTGGACGCTTGTTAGGACCAGGCTGAATATCCGCCCGTCAAATGAAGTGAAATCTGAAAGGGTGCAGCAGACACTGAAATCAATGAGGTGGCAAGGATGTGAATCAATATACATAAATTAATGCCGTTGACTGCTCTCTCTCTGTCTTCCCCTCTCACATTTACTTCCTCCCCTCCCCTGCCTCTCTCTGTCTTCCTCTGTTTGCCTCAGTCGCTGCTGGAGTGGAAGAAGTTTGCTGTATTTGTGACGCTCCGCCTCTTAAAGAACCCCTCATAAATTGTCTTAAATGTCGCCACGGTAAGGAAGCATGCCTCATCATATGCTGTCAAGCTGTGGTTCTCCACCAGTTCTTGCACTGACCTTGAAGATTTGACACAGTATGGTAAATAACAGCATTGCCGTTTAAGAAAAAAAAAACAATGACGCAGAAAACCATCTATCGTCAGTGATAGATATGAGTTGTTGCACCTGATTCCTGGCTGGAATGAAAATGAATGAGATGCCCAAAGACAGGGAGCTTAATTCATAGACTTAAATGCCACAGATGTCTTTACTTGGGCTTATTGCTGATTTAGAGATCCCCTCCAGACATATTTTAAGACATAAAAAGTACCCTGCATTGAATAGTAATGTGTGTCTGGTTTTCCACAAAAAAAAGTTTAATTAGGTTGTTAAAAAATCCTTAAAACTACATTGGCTCCTTCTCCCTTAAAATACAGAATCTATGAATATATAAACATTATCCGTTTCAAAATTTTAACTGCTGGACACAAGATGTCTCCTACTACACTGTGAAGTCCACTCTCAGTGTATGTGCACTGGTTCCAAACACGTAAATCATGGTGTGCACGCCTTAAAGGAACAGAGTGTAAGATTTAGGGGCATTTAGCGGCATCTAGTGGTCAGGACTATAAATTGCAGCCAGCTGAAACATCTCCTGGGTAGAATTCCCTCATTGTTCATTGTTAAGGATGTTTTTACCGGGAGCCGAATTATCCTCAGAGGTCTCCTCCTCTCCAAAACAAATAAACTAGATGATTAAAACTGATGGAAACACTGAATAAAGCAGTTTCATGTTACAAATCGGTGTTCTTCCTATGCTGTTTGGTACGTCACAGACAGGCTGTTAGTCCAGCTCCTGCTGATCCATTGTTAAGGAGGTTTTAACCGGGAGCTGAATTATCCACAGAGGTCTCCTAAACAAACAGAGGCAATGATTTAAACCAGTTTAAACACTGGATAAAGCTGTTTCATGTTACAAATTAGTGTTTCTCCAGCGCTGTTCAGCGCACCCTGTGCTCACCTTTTTTAACTGATAACTTAAGATGCAGACGCTCAGGAGGTTTTTACCGGGAGCCGAATTATCTGCAGAGGTCCCTTCCTCTCCAAAATCAATGGACCCGATGATTTAAAGCAGTAAAAACACTGAATAAAGAAGATTCACGTTAAAATTCACGTGTTTTCTGACGCTGCTTGTTGCAAGGGGGCTGCTAATGACCCTGTATGGAGCTAGTGTTAGGTTTTTCCGTTCTAGGCTACTGTAGAAACATGGCGGTGCAACTTGGCAATCTCCGTGGATGAGGACCCGCTCCCTATGGAGATATTAACGGCTCATTCTAAGGTAACAAAAAAAAAAACAGTCCTTATTTTTCAGTAGATTATACACTAAAGAAAACATATCTATTGCATTATATCCATTTCTGCCAATATCTCCCCCTAAATCCTACACACTGGACCTTTAAACTCAGATTTAAAGTGAGAACAGAGAATGTGAAAACAGCCTTATGGTGTCAAACTCTGCACATTCTGCACAGTGAGGGGAGAACATCCAAGTGAAGTAACTGAATAAAACACATTTTAAAGTGAAGGGAGACTTTAAAAGTATGAATGATGAAATGAAATACGCTGAAGTGCAAGTGGGAAGAAGTTTTACAAACACCGAGCAGCAGGATGCACAAGCAGGAAAGGGCAACAAATTTCACCGTCATGTCTTCACGGCTCTGTCAGACTAACAGGTTTGCTGACAGTTTGTTTTGAGGGGAAAAGCAGACAAACACAGTCCCTGCTCCTCGGATGCAAATGCTATAGTAAAATGTTTTGCATGCTGCTGAAACAAACCAGCAGAGCACTAAACATGGAGCTGCTCTGCCATTATTGTCACTCCGGCTGTCTGTCTTGTGAACACGAATTAAACGCTCTGCCTCCTCCTCCCATTACAGGTTATCATCCAGAGTGCCACACGCCAACCATCGAACCGGAAGCTGACAGCGATTCGTGGATATGTCGGCAATGTGTCTTTGCAGTCGCAACCAAGGTCAGGCTGCTAATCTCTCCGTCTCACACTCTGGGGAAAAAACATTCAGTGTGTAATATGGGAGGAATCCAGTCAAATATATCAGGCTTGGCTGCCACTATAGTGTTGTGTACAGCAGAAAATGGGTTTATCGGAGGCAAAAGCGCACTAATTCCCCCAGTATTGACTTCAATATTAGATGTTCTACATTGTGTCCAAGAAATCATGAGGAATCAATAGTTATGAAGCTGAAAAACTACGCTGAAGTTGAGAGAAGTACATTTAAAGTCAATCAATCACATGTGCTCCAGTTCTGTAGATATGAGATGAGAAAGCACTCGGTTAATTGTCAATCGGTCAATGTCCATATCTCATTGTCCAGACTTCCGCTGCTTCGGACACTATCTCTCACAGCTGACCTACAATAAAACGAGACGAATTGCTTTCTCCCCACCGAATGCGATCCGTCTCCCTCGCTGCTCTGACATGACAGTGATTTGAAGGGGTCACCGACCAATCAGTTCTGTCCTAAAAATTGTGTTTTCAGAGAGGCGGGGCGCTCAAACGGGGACGCTTCGCCCGGCTCATGCAATTTATGAAACTCCGGCTTCCCTACCAGCTGTCGTCTTTAGACTGGGACCCGCAGCATCTGACCAATCAACAACAGTGCTACTGCTACTGTGCCGGACCTGGAGAGTGAGTGACACTGCAGAGGCCAGTTTAAAGTTTGAATGTACAGTTTATGTGTGCTCTGAAACATTTGGCTTTTTTCTCACAGAGTGTTATCACATCTCACTCAGAGTCATCCTGTGGATTATTTGCAAATTGCATGCAGCATATCAGACATGTGTCAAACAGTATTAGCAGGATTTCTTTGAGTTTGTTTGGACTTTCTTGGAATGATATGTGAGAGCTGCATCAGTCCAGATACTGTCAGGTAAGCTGTCAATCAAAAAAAAAGTGCACCAAACTATCTTTATAATGCATTTTTTTTGTGTGTTCTGCTGCTTTGCTTTTGTTGCACTCTTTTGCTTATGTGCCAAACCTCATCCACCTGGCACACAAAGCATATAAAACAAACTCCCTACTGCCGTATCTTTACGAGTCGAGGGATCCAGAGGGAGTTTCCACCTGAAGACACATTTCAGCTCAGAAAATGAGAACTGTCAGCTGCAGTCATCAGCCTTCAGTCTTCCCTCTATAATGCACAAATACAAGTGTGTCTGGTGGCAGATGTTGGACACATTCATTCATGTGTTTAAAGTCTGGTGGTGTTTTTGTGTCGTTGGACTGCAGGTGGAACCTGAAGATGTTACAGTGTGGCAGCTGTGGTCAGTGGTTTCACGAGGCCTGTACGCAGTGTCTAACCAAACCACTGCTGTATGGAGACAGGTGCGTTACTGAGCATGACTGTAAAAATATTCTTATATTCAGAGTTAGTTTTTGCCATTGCATATAAGCACTGAATATAAAGGAATTTGTCATAACCATTAATCTTAGCAATTTTAACAGTTCACTCAGAGTATGTTCATACGCACAGTAAATTCAGCTAGACTTGAACGGGCATTTCGAAGCAGATATTAATATTTCAGAGTGGAGAGTAAATACATCTGATAACAATATATTGGCTGATATCTGTTAAACATAAACATTTTGGCACTGATCTCTCACATTTGGTCAGTTAGCACTTTAACAAGAATGGTTGAAAAGTACAGTAAACTTGATATGATACGATATGATATGATATGATACGATACGATACGATATACTTGTCTCCGTGGGGAAATTTGTCTTGGACTCAGGAGCTGCACAAGTATTGCTGTCTCACAGTAACAGAAGAAATGAAGCATACATCGTAAAAACATGAAAACACATACAACACATAACAGTATAACTCCCTTTAAATATGAATTCAGTTAAACCTGAAATTAAAGAAATTAAGACTCATAAATTAAGAAAAATAAAGAATGAAAAACATTTTTTTTTTAACATTTTTTTTTAATGCACATTGCTTATCCGTCATCATATAAATGCCAATATTGAATTGACTTTCATTTATTTGCTGATGACAGGGCCGAGGGATACGGAAAAAAATCAAATGCCACAATATTTTCGACCAAATACCTGAATGTTGTTAATGCAACGATATTGTAGGTTTGACTTTTATTGCTTTCGCAAAATATTTACACAATGAGAAATTTTTGATGCATAAACATCAGTAATGTGGGTATAATGACTATATGGATAAAGGCAAATAAAAGAACAGTCTGGTAAGTTCAGAAAATTACATTATTTCACTGTAATGCAGCCTTTAAAACAGGAAAACACAACAGTTACAATATTACAATATCCAACATCTAAAATGATATCTAGTGTCATATCACAGTGTCATTTTAATATCGACATATTGCAAATTATTGCCCAGCCCTAAGTCCGAGTATGTTTATATAAACACCAAAACTCAGCCAGACTGTTTTGGGGTTTTTGGAGCAGGTATTGATATCTCTGAGTAAAATTAAGTGCATTCTGATAATCAGATATTGGCTGATATCAGCTTTTTTACACAAATCTTTAACATGAACAAACATTTTTTGGCACTAATCTCACATTTTGGACACAATAAGGACAGTTGAACAACACAGTAAATTAAAGATGATAACAGTCAAGTAAATAAGATGTCAGTAAATTGAAAATTAGATTAAATCTTTATAAATATTCCCTTTAAATAAGAATTTAAAATAAAGAATTAGATGAAAGGAAAAATAAAATATTAAGAATACATAAACATGTAACAGTTAAAACTATTTTTACTGCTCTTTCCTTTTCATATTTGTAAAAATATATGCCAATATATTTGTGATAAGTCAGTATTAGCCGATAATATCATGCTGATGTATGAGTCAGGATCTAGACTCTAGAACTATTTTTTGCATGAGACGTGACTTTTCTGTTGACCTGTTTTACATTGATCTGTTTTTTTTATTAGTCTACCACTCACCACATGTCGTTGACTCTGTTTGGTACAATATTAAGGTTACATTGAGCAGAAACCTACTTGTGCTTTAGTTTGATTGCAAACTTAGTATTTACATTTTCAAATAATCTGTCGACAGTTTATTTGATTAATTGATTAATCTATAAAATGTCAGAAAAAATGAGAAAACACCCATCAGAGATGACGTCTTCATTGCTTTTTTTATCCAACCAACATTTAAAACCCCTCAAAATATTCAGTTTAAAATCATATGACACAGAGAAAAGCAGCACTTTTAAGTTGCAGCTCGTCTCAGCTGTAGATTCCAGTCTGATTAAGAGAAACAGATGAAGACATGACAGCTTCATTTGTCAGAGAACTACCTTAATTAGCTTAAGACTAAATTATTAGCGTGCATGTTAATGTACTCACTGACTTGTGCAATGAGGACAAGAGCTCCTCGCACACTGGGAGCAAAGGGACAGTGACAGACAGCGGAGCAGACATATCACCTCTCTGGTAGCTGCTCAGATATGATACTGGGAGGATATGCAAGCTGCTGATCGCTGTGCACTTTGATAGGCTGCACCTCATGCGTGTAATAAAATGTATCCATCCATTAAGTCATTATTGTCATTAACCATCTGCGTTAGCCGACTGGGTTCTACACCCATCCTGACACCTTGTTATTGCCGAACCTGTCTGAGGGGAGAAGAAAAGGAGGGATTAGATTTAGATTGACAGTTGGGGAGAGCGAGGCCGGATTGGTACAACATCTGCTGAGCAGGTGATGGAGGAAGAGTGAAGACTGAGTTCACAGTTGGAATAGTAAGCATGTGCTGCCGTCATACTGTGTCTGCGCTTCATCTTTCCCAGTGACCTTCAGTGAGCACATGCATATAGGAGGACGGATGCACACATTGTTGTTGTGGTAGGAGCCGAGTTTCAGGGTCACCCAGAAAAATATAATTATAGAGAAACTGATCCACCTGTCTGTTTGTTTTCACTTCAGGTTGATTTATGTGATAAAATACCTACAGAGGAGAGACATATATAGACTGAGAAAAACGTATAGACGGAAAAAAACACAGTGTTTATGAATAACTTGGACTAAATGATGAGAAGTCTGCACAAAAATGGGCAAAAATAGTTTTCACAGAGTTAATATGTTATAAAAGAAGACAGCGATGTACAGATTGTGCGAGTGAGGATGAAAGCAAAGGACAAAGACAAAATAAAAGATGACAGCTGTTTCTTGAAACTAAATGACAAACAGACCCATCGAAAAAGAATAAAGAAATAAAGAATAAATGATAATTCACAGAGTCCCATGATGCTTACTTTTATTTATTTATTTTTTCATGTGTCTTTTTAGGTTTTACCAGTTCCAGTGCTCAGTATGTACAAAAGGACCCGAGACCATCCAAAGACTTCCCATGACCTGGTGATGTTTGCAGTGAAAACACGTTACAGTTATACACAGTGGTTATTTAAGAATAATAGACAAAACATCAGGAGTTAAATAATGAATAGTTTCTTATTTTTCTTCTTTAATCACAGTATTTTTCAGTATATTTCATGTCAAGTCTGAGAGAAAACTAATTGTAATTCATTTTAATTTTGATAATATATTAAGTGTATGTTCGAAAATATTCTCAAATATCCAAAAATGTTTACCAGTTTCATTTCTTGTCTTATTTTTTATTACACCTGTGTTTTAATATCTGTGTTTTTTAATGCAGGATGGATTTGGCTCATTTAGTGCTCTACCATCTCTCGCTGTGCTGCAAGAGGAAATACTTTGATTTTGACCATGAAATCCTGTCCTTCACCAATGAGAATTGGGACTCGTTGCTCCTAGGCGCGGTATTGATATTTCCTCGTTTAAGCACCATGATGAAATGATGTGAAATGCTGCCAGCCCTTTTTTTTTTTTTTGCATTTGAGACTTAAAGCCAATTAACCGCCATTAAAGTAAAATTTAAAGTTAAAAAAAGTGTGACCTCTACATCAGCTTAAAGGGAAACATCACTAAGTTTAAAAAATTGCATATGACATTGTGTGTTTTTATGATCCAGGACAGTGGTTAGTTCCCAACCTTTTTTTTGGCTGACGCACCTCTGCAGCCTCATCAGATGAGCTCATGTACCTCTCATCATCCGACGGGGTCCAAATGCGTTCATTTCAATTGATTTTAAAGTGGATGCAATTTAACACGATTACCCAGGGTTATACAAAAGTGAATATTGTTACAAAGTTTTTTCATACAATTAAATGGGTTGGGTTGGTTTGCATTTGTAGCTGGACATTTCAACTGTTTATAAATCTCTTTTAGATACTCAATTAATCATTACTTTTAGCTAACGTTAACTATTTTATTCATCCATTACTTTCCATCAACAAATTTTTTAATTATATCAATTAATTTTAGCTATTTAAACTGTAAAAGAGACAACAGTTTAATCCATGAATTCATTACTTTTAGCTACATGTAACTCTTTCAATTGTTTATCCATTACTTTCAGCAAAGGATTAACAGTTTGTGGATTACTTGTAGCTAACGTTTACTATTTCAACCTTTTATCCATTACTTTTAGTAAATAATATTTTAATCCATGTGGGGCCCACTTGGGTAAACCCACCCATGACAATTGACATGGGGCCAATATGGAGCTTGTTAACAATTCCTATAGGGCTGATTGTTTAGTCCATTTACTACCCACATGTGCCCCACATACAAATTGTTGTCTGGGAAGTTATGTTCTTAAGTCATCAAACATCTTCCAAACATCTCACACCAACTTTATCTTCACCTGAAGTTACGACATTTTGTTTTGATGTATGGAGAACAAAACCCAATGTCTGGAAGACGTCATAATGTTAACATCCTCACAACGTGAAAATCTTAAACATTTAAAATATCATCAACATGATTTTCATTTCAACAAAAACATTAATGTAAGTCCAACGTAACAGTTCAATGTCTTTCTGATGCCACACTGATGACGGAATAAACAGTTGAAATAAATTAAATTTATAAACAGCTGAGATAGAAGTGTTGAATTTATAGCTTAAAGTATCGTTAACTAAAAGTAAGGATAAAAAGTTTAAACACTTAGCTAAAATTAATGGATAAAAAACTTTCCTTATACAGATATTTTTAAACTCGGCAACATAAGTATTCTACGTTGGTCCCAGTGTATTTCCTGTTGGGATGTTTATTAATGCAGTAGCTGACAGGAAGAAAGGAGGGACCAATGGAAAGGTCTATAGCTACAAGTATTGGAATGGTTAGCTAAAATAAATTGATATGGCTAGAAAAATAGTTAGCTAAAATAATTTGTAAATACTTGAAATAGATAAAAGTGTTGGATTAATAGTTGACATAGTAGTGATGAGAACTGGATAAACAGTTTCAATATTTAAAATTAGTCAGTATAATTAAACTTTGTCTTGGCATTGAATTTTGGTCACACAACATCTCAACCTAAATTCAACCAAATATCAATGTCCAACGATGTCGGTGCCCAGTTGGGCTACTTATAGTCTCTATATACAGACTCTGCATTCAGTGAATGTAGAGTCTGTAGGCAAACCCCGGAGATCTTGCCTCCGGAAGAAGAGCGGAAGAGCCCTGGTTTCCGGTTGTAGGCTGTTTGTAGTCTGCGTGATATTGACCAATCACGTTTGAGCCGGCTGCAGTTGTTGCCAGGTTAAACTCTCCGTGCGGTGAACTAACGAGGCGGAACATAATTGGCGTCACTGCAAACTCTGAATCCATCGCAATGGTTCAGCATATTTACTTATATATAAACGGAAGTTGGAAACGGAAATTCGCTTCCTCTGCCCAAATCAAACCGGAATGCCAAAAAATCGGGGGTCTGCCCCCAGAGGCTGTATCACCGTCTGCTGGAAGTCAGACGCCGAATACAGCTGATAGGGTTCCGAGAATGGGCTACTTATAGCTGTTTAGGGCAGCTTTTTTATCCACTGATTTTAGCTTTAGTGTTTTGCATGTTTAGCCAACGTTTTTACCAACTTCAGCCATTCAACTATCTTTAGCTTTACCTTCTATCCTATAGCTAACATTTCAACCATTTACTCATCACATTTAGCTAACTATTCAACTCTATCTTTTTAGCTAACGATACTAGCTAACTGTTGCAACTGCTTATAAATATCTTTTGGGTAAGCTTAACTATTTCAACTATTTACCCATTGCTCTGAGCAAAGTATATAATTTTCTATATATAACTATGAGCGAGGCACTGTCAGTGATACAATTGACCGAGGTTGGTGGGAGGTGTGTGCAGTCATCTTTGCATCTGATAGTTTAGCCTACTGCTTTACACGGCTGAAACAGGAGCGAAAAAACACATTCCAGGACTGCAATGACAATCAGACAATGCAAGAATCCACATTAAAACAGAAATCAAGAAGAAGCCCATCAGGGACAAGTATCCTGCTTGAAAATCATTGATCTGTCAGACACTAATCAGCATTTACAAACATGAAGGAATTTTGCCAAATCTTCTAGAGTGCTAAGGCTCAACATTGTGATAGCCTACCACCAATTTTAAAGTCTGAAGTCTCTCCACAGAGAATAAACAGGAAGCCAGAAGTAGAGGTGACTGAGAGACACACCAGGGGTGTTTATTTCCTGTAAATCTATCCAAGGCTGTGGGTTTTCCTTTAAGCTGTTTTATAAAAGACATTTTGAAATGTATTGTTTGTCCTGTCATCACATGGCGGCAGGGTCTTTCAGCCACGTAGCTGCAACAAGTACTTTTCCCCATCAACATTATTGCTGTCAGCGACTGTAAAAGAAAATTATTCTATGCATTAAAGGTTTTCTGTCTGACGGCCGTCCACTGTGTAAACACAGCTTTGATTTTTCATTCCTGTCTGTCCTCTAGCTCTCTGACACGCCAAGGCAGGACCGCTGTCACAATCTCCTCAACGCTCTGAACTCCCACAAGGACAGGTAAGTTACCGCATATGATGAGAAGAATAAACACAGACCACACATGACTGGATTGATGAGTAGCGCTCCATGAATAGAGGGGTCTTCTTAGTGCTCAGTAGTCTGCAACGTTGGACATGCGCGGCTGAAATGAACAAGATGAAATGTGTGACTTTGAATAAAATGTAGCCGCTAATTAGACCAGATTAAATTGAACACTTTTTGGTGTTTATTTTGTCTTGTTAGAAGAGGACACAAGTTGTTGGTATTAAATCACAATAACCAGTCTCGAGGTTTAATTGCTTTCAGTGGGTTTTCATTGAACTTTGCAAAAAAAAAAAAAGTCAGCTCTAATTATGTATACTTAATTACACAGTCACTGACTTAGAAATGTTCCTGAGTCTACTTTTTCATCAGGAAAATAAGTACATTTTGTTACACGACATTAAATTCATTATTAGCATCAAAGAGGAGTAATGGGGAAAAAACACACACATTTGGTGATAATATATTTCAAGAATCAGGCTGTGTCTTTAATGTCACCCCAGGTTTGTCTCTGGGAAGGAGATCAAGAAGAAGAAGTGTCTTTTTGGGCTTCAGGTCCGAGCCCCACCTCCGCTGACGTCCGACTCGTCGCCCCTCATCACCGACCCACCTATCAACATCACGCACCGGAGAAGGTCAGAGTAAGGACAACGTCTCTCCTTTCAGCTCTTATCTCAATAACGGCTCTGGGATTCCCACGGGGGATATAGTCATTACGCATGAACAATTAACTTGCAAATCAAAGGGCTGCAGTTTTCATATGCCAGCAAAAGTATCAGTGTCTTAATGTTCTTCTAAAAGAGCATTAAGCCCCCCTGTGTGCTTACGTTTGTACATCCATAAGTGTGTGTGTGTGTGTGTGTGTGTGTGTGTGTGTTAGTCTGTGTGTGCACTCGTCCTGTAGTCTGCAGATTTCATAGACACTCTTTTCATTTTAAATAATTTCCTACATTTAGCTGGAGCTTATTCAGACTGAATTTCAATGAAATAATTTGCAGTGGAGCTGTCTAAGGGAACAAAAACTCATATTATACGAGTCTCTGAAACATAAGTGAAACATTTTCTCACAAACAATATTCATATCTCAGTAATTTATCTCCTAGTTCCCTTTGCTCATCTAAATAGCTACAAGCTGCAAGTTTCAAGAGACTCTGGTCTTATTGGCTGGAATCACTTCGGGCTTCTCCTCTCTTTCTGACAGACATGTCAGATTTTCATTTTGACTAGAGTGAAGTCATTTTGCTTCTTCCCAAATGGAAAATGTTTCGATGGCCACATCAGAGGCAACAGATATTAGTTTATCAAGTATTAGTTGGAATGAGCCTAATGTGAGTAAGAGTCATACAAGTGACTATTCTGATCATAGGTTTCACTTCTTTTACAGTTATCTCCTCAACTGTAGATGACAACTATAGTATTCTGGTCTTAATCATATCTACAGCCCAGTTCAGACCAAAGATTCGTGACAAGACATGTTGAAACAGGCAACTACCTTCAATGCACCGTTCTGCAACGTTCCTAAAACCTGTCGGTTCACACCAATGCAACTAGATGAGATGGTGTATCATCTCTATGCAACAACTCTCTGTACTTCTGTTCTGATTTGCAGCTTTTCAGGTTTATTTTGTGGCTGAATATAATTTGTAGCTTCTTAATATATGAATGAGGATAGTGATAGTGAGATAGTGAGACCAGCACATTGTGAGCACAGACATAGAGGGCTCAGCGGGGACGGGCACCTGCCGCAGCAAACGAATGCACCGTCTGCAGTCATTTTGACTTGACCATCGGACTTCACTATAAGCTGATTGGCTGTTGAAATTGGTGACATGCTTTATGTTCTCAAACCAGCCGCCGGTGATTTGACCAGTCGTGGCACCATCAGCTGGCTTGTGTTGATCTCAGACCGGCTAGTGCACACTGCTGCAACTTTTCTCTGCAACATTCTAAAACGGTTTGTCTTGTCGCGAATCATTGGTCTGAACTGGGCTAACCAACCGACATTTTTTGGATGGAGGTCCCTGAAAATAGATTTTATCAACTTAGAGGTCCTTGACATAAAATAGGTTGAGATCCACTGGTCTGGATGTAAACTTCTCAACTTAACTGGCAACAAGTAATAAAGAATACACAAGTCAAAGTCACACTGCGGATTTAAACTGGTCATCGGTTGATAAGTTTGTCAGTTCTACACAGAGATGTCAGATCTAATGATTTAAATGACCCCTTGTAAGAGACTTGCATGGGTCTGATTTTCAAGACCCGCTCCTAAATATTGCACCTGCCCGACCATGCAAATCCTATAATAACCATACACTGTTCAAATAATTTGGTTAGGCACTGTTTTTTAAAGTGATAATTTTGGGACATTTCATTCACGTGAAACTCAGATAATGTATTTTCAAATAAAGGCAATTCTGGAAATACAATTCAAATGAATATTTTTCGCTTATTCTCAGAATACTGAGCAGCACATCTCCACAGTAACACGCCTCTTAATAACGTACCTGACTGAAGTGGCTCTTATCCTCCTATATACATGACACGGACAGAGCCGACACACAGTGAGCAGTCACAGAATCAAAATGTTAAAACATTGAATTAAATTATTGTTTATTCTCATTTTATTTTCATATATTCATCATCCAGCACCTGCAATCTGACCCCATGTGCTTCGTTTTACTCAGGACCAATCCTGGAAATAAAATTAAGACAAATACCACCCGCAAATCACCCATTTTGCGGGTCACCCACTGGTTGACTGACCTGATGCAGGAAATGTTGGCATTGTATATTTCTGCAAACTCCAGATATGTTGCATGTGTATGTTATTATGTGGTGGATATGTTGAAACATCAATGTGTGGTTAGGTTTCTGTATAAAAACCACTTTGCTGTGGTTAGGAAAAGATAATGTGATGGCTTAAAATACCTGTTTTGTGGGGGCACAAGCAGGAAATGCAGCAATGTCTCGTTGAAAAACAGTGATGATGAGCTAAAACACACCCAGTTTTGTTTGCTGGTCCTGGTCAGTGGACTGCAGCTTGGCAGGCATCTCACAAAGATGACACCATCCCCTCCAGCTTCTGATGACAGAGTCAGCTTGTATTTAGAAATATTGATATGATACATATGACACATACAAATGTAAAATGTCTGTGGTTTGCAGAAACATATAATGCCAACACTTTCTTCTGGCGACTGGGCCGCCACGTGTCATACCAGGTCAACATTTCCCCTCCACCAACACCGTCTTTGACTGTGATGTAGACTAAATTTCATTTCAGATCTTCAGTCTTATGTTAGCTGTGGATATTCACAGCCCGCAGAGGCTGAACCGACACTCCGTGAGCTCTCCTCTTTGTCTCCACCCTGAGGTCAAATCATCAGGTTTATATGCAAAATAATGGAAACGGGTTTTCATTGAATTTCCACTTGTACAAACAAGAAATATATGAAGTCTAACGGACAAGTTGTGACAAAACATATTGAGAACATTAATGCTCTCCAGAAGTTAAACCCTTTTGTCAGACACCACTCAGTCTTTTGCTTCTCAGGCCAAGATGTCAACTTTATACTTAAAATATCTCATAATCAAGTGGGCAGACTGTCATGCAATCTGATTTTGTAAGATTATTTGTGGGCATTTTTGCCTCTATTGTACCCTTGAGAGTGAAAAGGCAGATCGGAAATAGGGAAAGACGGGGAGGTATGACATGCAACAAGGGTCCACAGGAATTGCACCAGTGACAGTTGCAGTTATATGGCATGCCCTGAAGCCATTTGGACACCAAAGTGCTCCAATCACCAGTTTGCTGAACACATTCATGCTAGTTCGAGCTTAAATCCTTTCACTCTTAATGACTGTGTTCTTCTCTGTGCCTCCAGGACAAAATATACATTTAAATTCCTTCTACCTGTACAGCTCTAATTAGGGCAGAAAGAAGAGTGTGTTGTTCATTCAAGTCAGCAGTTTGGAGTTGTGGGTTGTAATGGACATTGTAGCCTCTAGGGGCCACTTTGGCGGTTTAAGACCTCAAGTTTTCATAAACAAATCAGGAGACAAGTTCAGTTTCAAGCAGAAGAAGACAGGGAATCAGGGAAATCTGGACTATTTTTTTTACGTATTTTTCAACCTCCTTGCTGTCGATGTTTGGGCTCATATTTGACAATATATTTGAAAATGTTGTACTGATATAATACATCAAAATCATATCATTTCACTGCTGTCATCTTCTTGTGTTTTACACCTCTCAGTGGGCTTTTATGGAGACACACTAATAAACTAAACACTGCACATTGGGACTGCATGTGTAAGTGTTCATGCTTGTGTTTTAATTTATGTGTGTTTCTGTTCACTTCAGCCCGTTGTCACTACCCTGCCAGAGGAGAGTGGGGGGGCCGGAGTCACGTAAATCAAAGCGTCGCATCATGGAGACACAGGTCAGTGCCTCTGTCTCCAGCTCAGGGCGAGAAGGGAGGTCTGGGCCACAAAACCTCTCTGATTATTTTTCTCTTTTTTTCATACATCCAGGTAAACAGCCCTCTGCGATCCAAATAACCTGTCAGTCAGACGCTGTGATGAAGGTTCATTTCGCAGTCTAAATCAGTCTGCATGTCTTTTAACACCCAGTGTAGCTCAGTATTTCTCTTCTCCTTTCTTTTGCCGTACTTTAATGCCTGCCGATGCTTCAGAGTCTATGGTTGGAGAAGAGGTAGCGCGTGAGAGAGATGAAGTGTCGTGCGTTTGGCTCAGTTGAAATGTATAATTCAAATACAAACTTGGCTGCACAAAAACCTGCTCATGTGTTTCATCAACATCTGCAGTTCAGCACCACATTTATCACGATCATCAAACCCAATTCCCCGCGGATCACAGTGAAACAGGCCGCATCACATGTGGCAGTTACTATTTTTACACGGCATTCTTAACGGTGAATGCTCATTGTACTGTGTCCTCCTACACAACACTCTGATCCGTGTATTTGCACACATACAGTAATCCTGGAACAATACTCTCCACAGAGCACTCGTTTTCACTCTGGCACATCCAGGCCCCATTGTGCCCCTCTGATTGATGCTAATCTCCGTGCGTCTTGGAGGAGCAGGTTCGTTGTCGTGGGGGAAAGTGAGATGGGAAAGAATGCTGATATGCGTAGCCTGGGATCACTTCCAAGTGCACTTTGCAGTCGATTACAGTTTGGCCAGGTGGCGCTGGCACCTTGGCAGTGCAGCATTGACAGAGCACATCCATTTAAAGGCACAGACGTCGAGTAAGGCCACTGAATAATAATCTCCCATCCCAACAGCAATGCTAGAGAAAGGAATGATAATGGTCCGACTGCGGTGCCATATGTCACAGTCCAGCGATGAGAAATGCAACAACCTTTAGGTGGCAACTCCCCAGATGACGTTTTCAGTGATTGATTGCTCTGATGAAGCTCTGATGTTTTTACTTTTCATGGGTCGTGAGTCTGTGTGTGTCGGGAGAGCTGCCTCACTAACCAGCCAGCTCCATGAGATGGAGGTGACACATTTAAGCAGGACATCATACGGCTGTGTCTGATGATGTGACTCACATCCATTAATGCTATTAGTGCAGATTTATAGACATACCTGCCCTCTGGGAATGCAGGAAGGTGGAATTCAAGCTCTTAAGTGTTTTTTAAGAATGCGAAAAACATACAAAACGCACATCAGCTCAGTTTTAAAATGTTTTCCTTCAGTTAGCAAACCTCTGTCTAGACATATTTATTACAAAACTGACGTTCTATATGCACAATTAACTTTATGCATGTCCGAGCACGGAGGTGTCACAGCTCGATTGACTCCTGAGATGATGTTGGCGTCCAGACAACAGCTGATCTGTGTGTGTCTCCTGTGTCCAGGCTTGTCCACCCCCAGTCCCTGCCAACTCCATTGAGCTACTGCCATGTTGCCATGGCTACATGGGAGGGGCCAGCCTTTACAACTCCAGGAAGTCAGAGGAGGAGCTTAGTTTGAGGTAAGGGGCGTTGTCCCAATCTGGTTTCTGTATTGATACAAAAAAAATCTTAAAGCAAAATATGGTTTACATCAGCTATGTGGAGGCAGTGCTCCTACCTTCAGGGGCTATGAAGTAACATGACATAATTTTTACAAGTGCGGATGTTTTGAGATATTCACCTCTGAGACTTCTACAGTCACCTCCGTGCAATAGAGATGGGATTATTTCCAATAAAATAACCAATAAAATAACTAAAATAAAACTCTTTTAGCCTGACTTGTTTAAATTCAAACAAAACTGTGTGCATGTACCTTAAGGAAAAGATGTTGTTTTTCATTTTTTTGGGTGACCTGAACCTCTAAATGACAGCCTTCTCTACTGTTATGAAACAATGCAAATATTGGATGAAAATATTATTCTATTTTAAACAGAAGCTGCAAAGCAATTATTGTCTTCAACCTCTTTGCGTCCCGTCCACAGCTCTCCCCCCAAGCGGATGTACGCCCTGTACCACACCACGTACAACGGAAACACTCCACTCTCCAGGAGTCTCCATCACTACAACAGGTTTTACTCATCTATCATCCTCATTTGTAACTCCTGCTGACATTTATGTAGTCACATGTTGAATACACAAAAATCCAGGAAGTAAAGCAAACTCTGAAGAAGAGTACACTTGCAAGATAAATGTGACACTTTCTAATGTCACAATGGAGGGACAACTACGCAGGTTGATTTTATCGCTGCTCATTGTGGACTATATTGCTGTCATTGTTCATTTTAGTCAAACCATACAGTTTGAAAACGAGGCGCGGCTCCAACTAGAAAACAATGTTTTGATGCATTGGATGTGCTGAATGTGCATATTAAGGCAGTACAGGAGGAGGTGCACATTAATAATCCTCCAGGACTGTAACATGCTCATGTTTAACCCAAACAATGTGTCATGTGACTGCAGTTGGTTCACATCCAGGTCCGAACACATTCTCACCACAAATGAACCTCACCAGAGTTCGATTGTTACTGGACCGAGACCACCTCTTCAAGAAGGTCTCAGTCCGGTTGTTTTGGTGCGCACCTGAGTGTGATTGCTGTGTTCACACCTGCCCAAACGAACCGCATTTAGGGGGCAAACAAACTTGAGAGGCCGTTTACACTTGGCCGGCTATTTTCATAAACGGACATTTCACCGTCTCCGTTTTCAAAAAGATCTTCCTTTACACTTATCCGTGTGTATATATACACAAGAGCATGCCAAACCTGTAGGTGGCAGTGTAACGAGAAGCTCAAGCCTTCCATGTATCCATTGTCACCATAGCAACATAGGTCGCACTTTTGACACAGGCACAAGTTCTGGCGCATACTGTGACGTCGACTGCCTACAACTCCATTTATCTCCGTTTATCTCAGTTTACATGCAAACGCGCAACCGGAGTTTTCCAAAATCTCCACTCTGGCCAGAGTTTTTAGAAAGACTCGTTTTCAGAGGAGAAATCTCCGTTTGCGTGTAAACGAAGGGCACAAACGAAGGAAGATGTCTCCGTTTATCAAAATCATCGTGTACGTGTAAACGGCCTCTGAGTTTGATTGAACTGAACCAACCACTGCAGGTGTGGAAGCACCCTTAAACAGTTGATTTAGACATCACTTCAGCTGTTATGTTTTCTTCCACATTAGTCAAAGTATCCTTGGGTGTAAAAATGGTCTTTTTGGGTTAACATCAGGAGTTCTCAAAGAGTACAAATTTTGAGAGCCAGTATATAATTGAGGGCTGTACAGGAGAAATGCACATCTCAGTTACACATTTAACTGCCAACAGTGCCTGACAGCACAGGCATTGATGACAGAACGTAATTTGCACTTCTACTTGTTAAGGGGGCGCAGTTTGACGCAGTAGACTAGCATTGTACCGGATTAAATGTAAGCTACTGAAAGTGAAAGTAATGAAATGGAACATAGATGATTAAAATACAATGCATGCTTTTCATGTCATGTTCAGGAACCGCACAAAATGTCTCTAAGGGCCTTTGGCCTGCTGGCTGCACTTTGAGCAAATGTGAATTTGAGTGTAAAGCAGAAAATTTGAGTACTAAATTACAAGGGCTGCACTTTTTCCTAGTCAACCAATAGTCTTCATTTCGGCCCATTAGTCGACTTGTCATCCGCATATTCACAATATTAATTTGATTTTTAAATTATATATTTTAGGCGGGGCAACACAATGGTTTGAGTTCAAGGTCTGTGCTAATGGGCATGTAGCTACTTCCATGTTTCAGATGATATGTCATGTTTGTAGTCGCCCAATGAAGATGAGTTTACATATCACCTTGGGTTCGTCCTTCACCTTCTCAAAATGATCCCACACTTTGGATTTCCTGCCCGACATGTTATTAACTAGCCTGTGGAATAACTGCAGGTACCAGCCCTGGAAATTAACCTGACTCCTGTCTGACTGCTGAGCGTGGCCACTTCCTGTGTCTGTCCTTTCAAATTAAATTCCCACATGGTCCAGTCATATAGGTTTTGACTTATTTTGGCAAGGAGCAGCTCCTGATAGAGTTTCACGCTTTTTTTTTTTTTTCTGCGACCAAACAACCAATAAAATCCTGCCAACTAATGACCTTTCTGGTTGACTAACATTTGGTTGACCACTAGGGGGCAGTTTGGTAATTTACTTAACCACCATTACAGTCATTAATTCATCTTAGCACAAAGTTGTCAGCCAGCAGCATTTCTCAAGCTGCTTTGTTCTTATATTTGTAAATGAGTAGTTCCAGTCTGCATTAATTAATTCTGTCTCTTTTCCTAGCGTGGAGGACACCTGCAGAGTACCGCCTCCTTGCTACCCATACCCCCTCAACGCCAATGGCAGCCATCATCATCACCACTCCCACCAGCATCATCACAACCACCAACACAACCACCAACACAACCACCAACATAACCACCAACACCAACACCAGCCGGGGCAGAAGCAGCTGGAGCCCGTCATCCTACGTGATATGCCCCCATACCAGGCTGGCATGGGCGGTGGGGGTGGCGTAGGTGGAGGAGGCGGAGGGGGAGGAGGTGGCGGTGGAGGAGGGGGTGTTGTAGTTGGAGGCGGGGACGGGACAGTGGCCAGGAGCTGGGGAGGAGGGGAGGCTGTGAGGATCTTGGCGAGACGCGTCACGCCGGACGGGAAGGTGCAGTACCTTGTGGAGTGGGAGAACGTGAGTTTGTACTGACACAGAGAGTAAACACGAGACGCAATGACTGTTTTGCAGTTGCCACAGGAATACTGTGTATGTTATACGTGGCAGTGTTTAAAGTACAAACAAAACAAAAAAAGGAAAAAAGAAACCCTACACGTTGCAAATCCAGGTTGCTCTCATAGTATCACCTCTATTCTACATCATTATAACTCACTACTCGTTACTAAATGTCCCTCTTTGCTAGTGTTTCTCTGATATTTGTACTGTTAACTTTGGAATATGCCTTTGCATTTATCATGTTTAACAGTGATGAGGGAAGATACTTAAACCTCCTGATGATTTGTGCATTTTGGGGCCACATCAAGAAGAGCACGTCTTTAATTGAACTCATGTCTTGATATACAGCACTGTACATAAGTGACTGTCGCACGAGAATAAGAAAAGAAGATTACTGCTTCTTAATCGTTATTTAATGTTACTTGTTACGTTTTAAGATAGTTTTACCTTCATTCAACTGTATTTTTTCATAAATCAAACTGTAAACCTCCACTGACACAACATGTTGCTAATTTAAAGGAAGAGTTTTACATATTTGCAATACGTTTATTTGCCTTCTTGCTGAGAGTAAGATTAGAAGATTGACGGCACTCTCATATGAAGATAAACCAGGGGATGGTCAGCTAGACATAAAGACTGGAGGCCCTCTAAAGCAGACTAATTAACAGCGGTAGGTTTGTGGTTATGTGCTGGACAAAACCATAGGAAGTCACTGTGGCCAGCCGAGAAATAGTCCTACATGTTTCTCCCTGCTTCTAGCCTTTATGCTAATCAGTCTCCTAATCTCTATAAACTGAAAGACTGTTTATAGAGATAGACTGATCACGTTTGAGTGGCAGGTAAGCAGTGCGTAAAGGTCTGTAAATGGCCGCAATCTTGACACCCATGGGCTATTGTCTCGTGACAATGTAGCTTTATATTAGTTTTTCAAAAATTATTCTGGATTCAGATGCAGATATCGACTAAGGTATCTGTTTATAGAGATTAACAGATATAACAGGTGCACAGAAGACAAAGTCTTAGCCAGAAATATTGGCTTTTGCCCCCTGAAGCTTATCGTCGACAGACTTATAGCCGATGGGTTCCGAAATTGACAGTCTCTTGGTTGTGTCTTTAAATTTAACAGATTAACCTGTACAGACAAGTATCTTCATATGAATATTTTGATATCAGAAACATTCCATTAGTAGTCCAAGTAGTATTCATCAATCGCGTTTGAGCGGGCTTTGGTTGTGTGCAGGTAAACAGACGATATGGAGAGCAAAAGAGGCAGAACGCATTGGCCAGAATTCAGTCTCAGAACCCAACGACTGTCATCTAACAACACTCGTGCTTTTTAATAGTTTTTGTCTAATTTATCTGCATTGTTATGCGGAAATCTGTTGATAGAGATTCGCCGAAATGTTGTCCGGACCTGTCTCGAGTTGCTGATCAAACTGTAAACAATGAGCAGCGCATGGAAGAGAAAGTCTTGGCTACACTGCAACCCCAGAAATATTGCTTGTTGCCCCCAGAGGCAAAATCATTGTCAGATCGATAGCCGATGGGATTCGAGATTGTTAACAGATAGACATGATGATCGATCCTTGAACCGAACTCTCAGCAAGAAAGCAAATAGGCGTATTTCCCAAAGTATGGAAGCATTTCTTTGGCAAACTGTTTTAATAACAGGGCAAAATCTTTTTTTAAATTTTTTTTTAGAATAATTTACAACACAGCTTGACTTGTAGCACAAAACACAGCAAACAAAAAACGAGATATGAGGCTACATGTGTAGTTAGACCCTACTTTGCATAGTTGTTGAAGGCTGAAGGTTCATCCATCCGTCCATCCATCCATCCATTTTCTAACCTCTTATCCTCTTGGGGGTTGGGGGGGGGCTGGAGCCTATCCCAGCTGACATTGGGCGAGAGGTGGGGTACACCCTGGACAGGTCGCCAGACTATCGCCAATTCACCAATTAACCTATCCCCAATCTGCATGTCTTTGGACTGTGGGAGGAAGCCGGAGTACCCGGAGAAAACCCACACTGACACGGGGAGAACATGCAAACTCCGCACAGAAGGGCTCACACACCCGAACCAGGAATCCTCTTGCTGTGAGGCGACAGTGCTAACCACAACACCACCGTGCCGCCCCGGCTGAAGGTTCAGCATAGTTGTAAATTCATTTTTATATTTAAACCCTATTAAGTCCAGAAATCTAGACGTTTAAATGCCTTGACCCAAATCAACTAATCAGAATTAGTAGGTACTTTAAATAAGAAGAAAGTTTAAGATTTACTCTTTTTTTCTTTTTGAAGGTAACAAAATCGCTTGCAATATTCAAAAAACTTTTGCCAGCAGTTGATATGGATATTCAAGGGATCAGGAAGCTAAACAGCCCATAGTTAACATCACACTTCCATCAGCCTTCACTTTTATAATAGCTCATTCATCAACTGATTGTTAATGTTCACATGAAAATTAGCCCAGAAAATAAACAGTGATGAATGGTCCGTCCTCAGTGAGAGGCAGGATGACAGCTGGGTGGTGGCTGCTGGCTGCTCATGAAAAAAAGCAGTAACCTTTTATTGGCCAGGATGAGACGGGGTAGTACAGCCGGTCTTGTACAGTATTTTTGGCCACACAGATGGTAGTTTAATGCCTTAAGGGCACTTTGACAGTCGTGGCTGAGCCCCTTTCTTCTGCTCAGACGGCAGCTTGTCTGACTTTGGCTTCATAAGATACAAATCCCTGGAGGTTTTCTTATCTTTTCTCATCTCTGTATGTTAATAAGAGATTGTATACATGTTATTACGGGGTTACTTATTTGTTATGTTAGATTTTGTCATACAATTTACATTTAGACAACTGTACGTATTAGAAATAGAAGCCACCAGAGGGCTTTTGTTTTATAGATAGAATTATATATTCACAATATATTGCTATGATCGAATAACTTTATTTTATTTTTTTGATGTGGTTGCATAGTGCCTATATGGGTTGTGTACCTGCCGATTGGTCTGCTGACTTCAGTTGACCAATCAGACGACAGATAGATGAACGAGGCCATGTTGCTACTAAACAAGAGGATGGCTCTTTATCAGTTGACAGATACAAGGAACAGGTATAATGTTGAGTAGAGTTTTTTTTAACCAGAACAGGACTGTGATGTTACTGTACATTCCAAACAACAAAAAAAGAAGTATATATGTTATTGAAATGTCTGTTTGAAGTCATCAGAAAGGAAATTATTTTGAAAGGATGTTTTTGTTTTCAGTGGGTGTTAATAGATGTCATAAAGGTCAGCTAAAGGTCCAGGTTCAGTTTCATGTCGCAGGGAGTTCAGTCCTTGCGTTCAAAGTAACAGTACAGGTAAAGAAGACACTGATAGGCCCGACTCCTAACTCACACCCATTTCTTCCAGGGTCTAACAGTCTATTATTTAAAAGGTACATAAAGTAGGAATTCATAAGTCAAGGCCCGACTTCTTCTCAGATGTGCTTATAGAGGCGAGTGAGGTGCTGAAGTTGGATTTTATCTTCATGCAAACAGGTTACATAAATCTAGAATACTGTGGTGCAAGTTTCAGAGTTTATATTTTATACAGAGGTTTATTTCAGCAATCCGTTCGATAAAACTTACACAACGTTACACATTTGTCAGTTTTATCTTTCAGGAAAGACTGTATTACAGGTTTAGTTTAAAAAAAAAGAGCAAAAGACAAATACAGCATTTATACTGTTATACTCAAACCAATGCAGAACTCTCAGATTTTATTTACAAACCGACCTCTCTGTTGAATCGCCCACTTGGAGTGTTATCACCTGACTGAATGGACATTATCAGTGGCTATCAGCCTCATTGACATGGGTTAGAAGGGACCTGCTACATCTACTAGTACAGTGGCCTTCAAACCTCTTACACCACGTACCACCTCAGAAAATACTGGGCTCTCCAAGTGCTACCACTATGGCCAGTACAGTAGCATAGGTCTACCCTGTTTAGCAACAGAACAAATTTTATAAGAAGTATTCTCCTCCTCATCTGCACCTCTCTTCCTGATAGTTCGCCATGATTGCATGGTTTTAAATAATTCATTTTAACTCGTGCAAGGCTCGCATGGATGTATGAAGAGAACTGGATACAGCGTTGGAGTCAGGGCCACGTTCATTTGTATAAAAGTTGCTCAGTGGCACATGGAGCCAAAAAAGCTCGATTTCCAGGGTATGAAATTACCCAGATTTTCTGCAGCATGGAGCCCACAGAGAACAAGCACTAGAGGGCAAGCGGCTTACTTCCTGTTTAGCCCTCTGCTAACTTAAATGGAGATAAAACGATGTAATTGTGCAGCTCCTTTAGACTTTCGAAATGTTATCAGACCCAATACATCGAATTGGGATAGTGAAACAAGTCATGAGAAACAAGTACACTAATTTACAGACATCTCTTTCACAATGTAAGTCTATGGGAAAAAGTCTTTTTGGACCCTGTTGCGTAATGTGACGAACCCAGACGCTGTAATTCCACTTTTGGCCACTATTTAAAATTGGCGCTGTTTGTCAGGACTTGTACGTTCATGAATGTTGCTACATAGGAGGCTGATAACAAAAAAATATTACAGGGAAGGCAAAACTCACTTTAAATTACACTTCATGAATCTTGTAGTTGAAGTGTCCTCACTCAAATTGTAGTACTTTTATAGCATATTTAGATTGACTTAAAGCATTTTGGATGATCCTTTGTATACCACTAGAGGGAGCTTGTGTACCACCAGTACCATTGTTTGAGAACCAGTGTACTAGAAGGTTCATAATGCTGCTATCAGCCCATTAAATGACCCTGTTTATTGTTAGGCAGCGACCTCCAGTGGCCGTAGTAATTATGATAGCAGCAAAGGAGGAAGTCAGGTGATGTAATGTTAGTACAAATGGCAAGAAAGTCCATGTAGAGAAGAGGCCATGGTGATGGTTGGGTCAAACCTAACGAAACTGCTCCCAATGACAACTGATAACAGCCATGTAATGGGCTGATAATGGCATTTGGAACCTACTAGTAGATGTAGCAGGCCCCTTCTAACCGATATCCATGAGGCTGATAATCACTGATAACACCCATTCAGTTGAGTGATAACACTCAAAATGGGTGGTTGACTTATCTTCTGCGTCCATTTCAGGCCAGTGAAATTATGTTGATTGCAATTTTCATCCTCCTCAGTGACTATTTGACTGTAGTTTATTAGGAAGGCGTGTGTTGAACCTTTCTAGGCGATGGTGATGAATGTATTTGTGTGTTTTCTATGGTATGTCTATACCCGTCAAGTGCTCGTTATAGGTTGTCCTCGAGGTGGAACTCGACCCGATTCGTTCAAAACAAAAAAGGAGGAAATAAAGACATCACCATGGAGAAACATCATTTATTTTTTTGCGAGAGGTAGTCTTCTTTTTTTTTTTTGATTAGTAGTCAAGTCCAAGTTCAGTTTGATGTATTTTTGGAGAAATTACGTTTGTACATGTATACTCTGCGTTGACACCTAATATGTAACATGAATAATAAAAAAAGTTTCACCTCATACAATGTGTGTTTTTATCAATCAGTACATACAGGTAATCATTCATTTAATACTTGTCTTACAAACTTCACTTTGTTCTTTCAGTATCTATTTGTCTTTCTGTCTTGTCTACCAGTTTTAAACACTTAAAAGGATAGTGCACCCAAAAATGAAAATTCAGCCATTATCTACTATCTATCTGTCTCACGGTGTCGCGCAAGCGACGGTGTCGCGCAAGAGTTCAAATGACGTTTTTCCAAACAACTTTTTATGTTGGGGCTTCAGGACACTTGGATCACTACTAACGAGCAGCATGGAGATATTTTGTGGTTTCAGTTATGTGTTTTTGGACGTTTGAATCTGGGGTGCCGTAAGCCTCCATTAAGTGGTGTTGTGTTGCTACCTACTCTCCCCTGGGATCTCTGCAAGTGATGTGAGGACTCTAAAACTTCACCTGAGCCTCCCTCGGTATATGGGTGAGTAGATAATGGCTGAATTTTCATTTTTGGGTGCACTCAATTTCAATCAATCAATCAATTTTATTTATAAAGCCCAATATCACAAATCACAATTTGCCTCACAGGGCTTTACAGCATACGACATCCCTCTGTCCTTATGACCCTTGCAGCAGATAAGGAAAAACTCCCCCAAAAAAACCCTTTAACGGGGAAAAAAAACGGTAGAAACCTCAGCCCTATGCACTATCCCTTTAATTATTTTAGCTGTTGTGTCTTATAAGTAAACAGCTCTTCCAAAACCATCTACATCCTTTGAAACGACTGTAACAGGCAGACCGTGTATAGCTGTTGGATTTTGGTTGGTTTGGTTAAGTGCTGAATTTTGTGTTGAGCACCAACCAGGATCCTGAACTCTGACTCACCCAGGAGTAGAAGAATTTTTGTAGTCTAAAGGTCCTGATCTGAAAGCAGGGTTAGTAGAAAATAGTAAAATACACAATAACCTGCAAATAGTTCAACTGAATAAAAAATAAAAGACTGAAAAACATCTTAAGCTGATACATTAAGAAACCAAACAGAAGAACTTAAAACATGGAAGTTCATTCTTGACTTTGGGATCAGGGTGATGAAATAATCTCGACTCAAGGTCCTTTTTCTGAGCTTTGAGCTTTGACCCGGGTCTCACTCCGATGTCGTCGAAATTCTGCACTTGGGCAGTGACTTGCAGCATCGGACAATCATGGAAAAAGCATGTTAGCATGATACATGGTCAGTCTCCATTATAGTTTAACAGTGCTAAGCAGCGTCATGGGGAGAGGCGGCGAAAGTCCAAGTTGGGTGGCTGGGAGTGGT